AGGTTGGGGGAAGGTGAGGAGGAAGGAGAGGTTGGGGGAAGGTGGGGAGGAAGGAGAGATTGGGGGAAGGTGGGGAGGAAGGAGAGGTTGGGGGAAGGTGAGGAGGAAGGAGAGGTTGGGGGAAGGTGGGGAGGAAGGAGAGGTTGGGGGAAGGTGAGGAGGAAGGAGAGGTTGGGGGAAGGGTGAGGTGACGTGTGAGAAAGCGAGTTAAAATCCAGCCGACCGGACAAAAAATCAATATCAACGTTTACACAAATACATCCGTAAAACCACCCGATGACCGCGCCTAGACTCACACCATCGCCCGCGACATACACAACCTCTCCACACATGTCACAACGTGCGGGGGCAGTCTACGCGCGCGATTACGTCACGCGCGTCATAAATCGTCACGTGCTCGCGCGACGGGTCGGTGTCTCCATGGTAACGGCTAATAACGCTCGCGTGTGCGCCGCCGCGGCCGCCGAGAGCGACTGACGGAGATAGCAGACGTTATCAGGAGAGGATCAGCTGCAGGAGGAAGCGACTGCCGCCGTCAACAACGGAACCCTCCCCATCCCCGCCGCCACCACCAGCAGTGGATAGCAATTACTTTCAAAAACAAATTTATGTCACGATGACGCACGCGCTGACGTCATTCCGTCTGGCCGCTAGCAGCGAGCGATAAACATGGAACGCACGTGAATAAACAAGCGAGATAAACAGCGGAAATTATTTACTAGAGCAAACAAAACATTCACTTTATTTATTACGTCACTGAAGTTGTAACAAACCGATGAAAGACGGTAACAATAATAAAACAGCCTATCAAGTAATAAACAAAACTACAGTCTTTTCCTTTACAAAGTTAAAAATCAGTACAGAGTGATTTTAATACCCGATGCTGAGGGAGAGAGCACCAGGTTGGAAGAGATAGCTAGACACAGCCAGGGCAGACCGTTGCCATGGCGACAGAAGCCTGCAAAACAACGTGTTTGCGGGGCCGCAGTCACCCTCCGGCAGAGAGAGACGGCTGGTGCAGCAGAGGCATGCGTCGCTCGAATAACAATGAGCGAGGCAGCCAGGCAGACAGCACACCGGCAGGCAGCCAGGCAGACTGGCAGACAGCACACCGGCAGGCAGACTGGCAGACTGGCAGACAGCACACCGGCATTTGCAGGCACGCAGACAGCAGCGCAGCAGCGGGCAAACAATGCCACGCACACTCGATGCTAAACCACGAGACTGCAGCTTCACACGATGCTGCTACTGCTGCTGTTGTTGTTGCTGCTGCTGCTGCTGCTGCTGCTGCGGAGATATGTCAGCCTCGCCCTCCGTCTCTCCCCGCATTACGGCTCCGGCTGCTCCTCTTGTCAACTCACGGCAACAGCTACTGGAGGTGTCTTCGTTTTTTACACACGTATACACGACAATAAGACACTTTACAAAATATATTATAACTCACTGTGCAGAAGAAGCGGATCAACTGCCAACGAGAAATAGTTCTGTTACGGTAAGTATGAATGAATCTAGTAGTAGTAATAATAGTAGAAGTAGTAGCAGTAATAGTAGCAGTAGTAGTAGTACTAGTAGTAGTAGTAGTGTGGTCGCACTTCGCGGACTTTTTCTCTTTCTCAAAATAAGCCGGTAGACCACGGCTTGGGCCGGGTCGTGGCATGAACAAGGCACATCTGCACTAGTATTGCTGCACTACGCATGCAAGAAACTTCAACGGGGAAGAAATACACATACATTAGTCACCATGTGCGAAATTAAAACACTAACAAACGTACAAGTACATAAAAAATGAAAAAACAACATTCTGGCAAATGCACAAGTTCTCCTGTGGAATGTTTGTTGTATAAACTCAACTTCATTACAAATTATTCCCACAAAATACTCAAACGGGTTATGATTAAATTAAATGAGTTAAATAAAAACAAGAGCCTTAAATTATCAAACAATATTAACTCTACAAAAGTTACTAAAAACTGTAAATTGTAACACAAGTAACAGCGAGGGTATCCCCTGGTGGCAGGAAATCACAACGGAGTGTTGTCCCATTATCTGACAACTGAAGGTCATTATCTGACAACTGAAGGTCATTCCTAAGCAAATCTGAACAAGAAACCTCTGCGTAATAGGAAGATATACCGAAACGATAGCATGAAATAAATGGAGCACTGAGCACAGATGCGCGTGCGCACGCGCATGCACCAAAAGTAACACACACCCACGTACTCTCTCTCTCTCGCACACGCACACACGCACGCACGCACGCAGAGCGACACATACATACACGCGCGGGCGCTAATAATGATTGAACGCAAAAAGCAAAACTATTTAGCTAACAAGAGTAAAATAGACGTTTAACTAGCGCAACAGCAGAATGTACCTTCTACAACAGCCGTATGTTCAGCCACTACGCAGGTCTCTTCACTTAACAACAGCACAACCATGAGAAACCGGCCCCCTGGCGGGCGATATGTGAACTACCAATGCGAACAAGTGCGCACACACGTCGTCACCGAGCCAAAAAACAAGTGGACAGTGCGCAGGGCTGCCGCTTCCGAATTAAAACAACAACTCACACACATCATTAGTTGTAAATAACAATATTAATAACTATAATAAATCGAAAACTTCAAAATGAGACGGGTATAAAATTCCAGCACGATTGGAGAGTGAGCAGTCGCGTCGTTTTCGCAGTCTCCAGCAGTAACCGCTAATCGAGAAGACAAAATGCCCGCTTGACTGCCTGTCGGTAGCGGGGAAGGCGAGGAGGAGGAAGAGGAGGAGGAGGGGGTAGGGACGACTCCCTCCTGATTCTCACCCTCCACCCCCAGATTTCCTCCTCCCCTTCCGCGCCTACTCGCGACAAAACCCTTGTAACAGAGACAGTGACAGCGGCATCATCGGCCGCGATCAGCCAGGTGACGACCCTGCCAGGGGGGGTGGTGGGGGGCGGGCGCCCCGCCGCGCGCGTGCTACCGCGTCATCGCAGGCGCGACAAACTCTGCATAAATAGTGTAATAATAATCGCTTAACAAGTCAGCCGGCGCCGGCAGGGTAGCGGACCCGCGGCGCCCTCTCGTGGCACCACCTGCTCGCCGCGCGCCGAAACAACAGCTGAACAGTCACGATATTGCAACCCCGAACATCTCTCACCGACACCCAACGCACGGATACAGTCTACACTATCATGTCAACATGGCACGACAAACAGGCAACTAGTACGAGACCAAGCAACAACAGCGTTTATAGGTAACCATCAACATCTAAACATCATAAAATCTAGTTGCCACGTAGAGGTTTACCACCACCAGCAATAGGCACCCACAACAAGTAGAATAATATATATATATATAGTGTGAATATCAAAGATAGGAAACATGCCATAACATCCACACTCTCTCTCTAATCATCGTTAAGTCGTCGTCGTCGTCGTCGTAAGCGTCGAGAGTCTTCGTTAGTCATCACCACCATCGCTACCAAAACAATAACTCAGACGTTACTCCAAAAAACAAATGTCAAGTGTAACAGAAAATAGTGGACCATTTTCACGGTTTTTCTTGCAAAATCTTCCCCACCTTCCGAAAAACTAAGGGCTCCAAGGTAAAAAATTAACGACCAAACTCTCTGTCAATCACAAAAATAGTGTTCTAATCGGCTAGAGAAGAAAACCAGTTTCTGTTACGTTTGGATATAGTAGAAAGCGCAATATTATATAATGGAAACGACGTACACTCATTCCCTCTCGCTCCCGACTCCTCCTTCCCTCTCTTTCATGAGCCACCGAGTACAGTCTCGTATACAAAAAACCTAAAAACATTTTTTTGTGGATTTTCTTCAATTTTCTAACATGAAGTAACAAAAAAGTGAAATCAATAATATGGAAAACAGGTGCTCACAATATATTTTTGGTCTTGTTCATGGAACGGTTACGGCAAAACGACTTCTAACTTCTAGCAAACACTTGTTTCAACAGCGCACAACTTTGAAACATATCAATTGGTCTCTTTGCATCAAGTTGTGCATACGATTGTTCTGCTTCACTCTGCTTTGCTAAATAGCAACATGGCCGCCGCCGCAGCAGATGAGACCTAAACAAGGTCACGACCCACACACCAACATGGCCGCCTCCGCCGCCGCAGACAAGGACCTAAGCAAGGTCACGACGCACACACCAACATGGCTGCCGCGGCAGACAAGGACACCTAAGCAAGGTCACGACCCACACACCAACATGGCCGCCACAGCGGACGAGACCTAAGCAAGGTCACGACCCACGCACCAACATGGCGGCCCGGGGCGGGGTTTTCCCGACCGCCGGCGCCACCACCCCGCGATCGACGCCACGATCCCCCGATACGCTCTGATGCCCCGGGGACCCGAGCCGCGCTCCAACGCCGACGCGCGCGCGTGCGGCCGGCGGGCAAGTATGCACACTGACCACTACTCAGCCGATCTCCGTTGACCAAGACTTTCGCCCAAAGATGGCGGCGACCCAAACATGGCGGCGGCGTGAAGCACAGTGCGCGCGCCGCAGTGCCGGGGGGGGGGGGGGACGGGCGCACAACGCGGAGTACGAGAGGTAGCTAGACAAAACAAACTCAGCTACACACACGAAAATCACAGATTATTGCTAACTACACTAGATTGGACACGGCACCGGCGGCGCCGCCACGCGCTGAGATTCCTCCAGGGGGAGCTACACCGCACCTCCCCCGCGCACCACCAGATGTCGCCGCTCACGCCGCGACCGGTGGCGCCACAGCGTGCTGACCTAAACAAAGCCGACTAGCTGAGAAAGGAGCGTTTGTCTGTCGCCGCGCTCGACGACCGCGCTCCACTCTAGATTCACGTGTCCACGACTAGATATACGCTGCAGGCTAACTATGCGAGGCGTCGTCATGCCGCGCCGCGCCGCACACACGCGCGCGCGCGCGCGCGAGAGACAGACAGACAGGGGGCAGAGCCGTTTACAAACATCTTACAAAAATAGACGATAGACTTCTTTTTTCTTCTTCTTGGAATGTGAACAGTCCCGAGGCGGCGACAGTGGCGACACCTGATGGGCACAAGCGCGGCGACGCGAGGGTTGGGACGCGAGATGCCACGCCCTCATCACGGGGTCGTGCGGAGGTCGAGCGGGCACCCAGGCAGACGAACAAGCGATAAACACTCGCAAACAATAAATCGCGAAACACGACACCGCAGAACAAACGACACCTACCCCTTTACCGCGATGAGCCCTCGTGCTGTAGGTGGCGCCACCGCCGTGCGACGCGACAACGGGGGAACGAGAGACCGGAATTTTTCTCGGAACCAAGGGAAGGCAAATGGAAATCATGATCTCTCTCTCTAACTCGCTCCAAGTCACTGCCGACGCACAAGATTTTTGAGCATGGATACTCTGATGATAATCAGTCGACGACCACCTACGAAAAACCACATACAAACAACACCTCGACTCCCGCCACATTAAATATACACAGAGATAAATATTCATCCTGGATACGCGCAGCATGAGCCGCCGCCCGCCGGCCTAACACTGCATTCTTATCAAAGGGATACAAAATTATACCGCAAAAAAGCTCCATAATAAAATATACGACGGATCTTGATCAGTTAACATGAAACACTGGGCTACCTACTGGATAAATTAAACATCTATTGCACCTGCTGCAGACCAACCGAAGGCCAAGGAAAGGCGGTACGTGAGGCAGCACAGTAGCAGCAGCAGCAGCGGCGGCGCCCCCTGCCGCACGGTTGCGCGCGCTCTGCGCTCCCCGCACGTGGCGAGCGGTTGGTTGTGCCAGAGCCATAACCTAACACTTTAATACACGATTATGAGATATGATACCAGCATCTTAACAGCAACAGCACAAATTAAGGTCAACAAACACTGCATAATTACCTTTCCGTAACGAGACTCATTTGAGAGAAAATTATAAAAACTTATCAAAAGCTTTCAATTAACCCTGCTGTTTTAGTTTTTAGTTTTTTTTTCCCTTTTTCCGGGCCGTACTGAAGCGATCGTCCGAGGGACCGGCATCTAAACTTCGCGGCAACAACAAAAAACACAGTGTCAAAGACTGCTAAACGTGCAGCCACTCCCAAACACTCCATCCCCCCGCGCGCACGCGCCGACCAAAACCCACACCCACTCCTAAATAAGTGCGAGTCTCTCTCTCTCACGGTCGCGCGCGCGGGGGAGAGGAGACAGGGAGGTTTCAAACAGTGTACGCACTGAAGAATCAATCGGGGGGGGGGGTCTTCGAAAATAAGGGACGTCCGCGCACGCTCGCACGCGTGACTCACTCACAGCCCGATGCTAGGCACCTGGATGTAGCGGTAGATGTAGAGGCGGTAGTCCTTACTCGCGAGTACCACCGAGCCGTCGTCCATCAGCGCGACGTCGAAGCACTGCGCATGCTTCACCTTGCTCTCCAGCGCGTTCACCAGCTGTCCGTCCTGCTTGAAGATGGTGATGTTGAAGTTGTTGTGGTTGTCGGCGATCAGAATCTCTCCAACGTGGTTGACGCCGACGCCGATCGGGTAATTGGTCACCCCCTCGCCGCCGATCTGTCGCAGGTAGACTCCCTCGTAGCTGAACACCTTCACGCAGTGCGCGCGGTTGTCGCTGATGAAAATCTCCTGCTTGTCGTTGACGACGACGCCGTTCGGAAACTCGAGGTGTTTCGAGCATCCGAACTTCTGCAGCACCTCCCCGCACTGGCTGAAGATGATCACTCGCATCACCTTGCACTCGACGACGACGATGCGACCCTTGTTGTCAACGGTTACGCCGCGCGGATGCTGCAGGATGTTCGCGCCGAACTTGCGCACGAACTGCCCGTACTGGTTGTAGATCTGGATCTGATGCGTGGGGCTTCGCTCGGTGACGATGATGTCCCCGGATGTGCGGATGACGGCGACGCGGTTAGGATAGAGCAGCTGCCCGTCTCGCTTCCCGCACTCGCCAAACTGGAACTTGAAGCGGCCCTCGCGGTCGAAGATCTGAATGCGGTGGTTGTTCGTGTCGGCGACGATTATGTCGTTCTGCGCGTTCACCGCGACGCCGCTCGGTTCCGTGAACTGTCCTTCCATGACGCCGAACTCACCGAACTTGCAGTGGTAGATCATCTTCTGCCGGCGGATCTGGCACTTTGGCGGAAAGATGTTCGTCGTGATCAGCTTCGAGGCGAGCTCGAGACCGACGGCATCGTGGTGATGATGCTGCTGCTGCTGATGCTGTGACACCGGCGGCGGAGGCATGCCGCCCTGCTGCTGCTGGGGGAACGGGTCGGGGGCCGCCGCAAAGATGTCCATGCCTCCGGACGACCACTTCTCGTACAGGTCGTTAGCCGCGGGGTAGGAGCTCAGCGAGCCGTTGCTGCTGCTGAAGCGCTTGCTGAGGAGCGTCGCGGGAGGTTCGAACAACATGTTGTTCATGTGGTGGTGCCCACCGCCGTGACCGTTCACCGTCGCCACGACGACGTGTCCGTTGACGCCGCGCGCGTGGCCGTTCATCACGCCGCTCGACATCGTTAGTCCGTTCGGGATGCTGCTGATGCCGTTAACGAGGCTGTTCGGACCGCCGCCGCCACCGCCCATCCCGTTGAGCGCGTGCGCGGAGGGGCGCGCGATCGGGGCCTGCCGCACTGGGTTAGTGGGGGGCGTGAAGTCGGTGCTCTGACGGATGTATCCGTACGTGTTGCGCACGCCGATCTGAATCGCCTGGTAGTTGGAGACGAACTCAAAGTCGTAGGTGTTCTGGTTGCTGACGTCTGGCATGTAGTCGAGCGCGCCATGCAGACGCGCCTCCAGACCCTTCTTGTAGAGCAGCACCTCCGTTTTGCTGGCGTGCTTGAGCAGACGCTCGATGAAGTCGCAGCCGTTGTGTAGCCGAGCGATTGTTTCCTCGATGCGCGCCGTCACCGCCGTCAACGACTGGTTCTTCGCCGTGTAGACCGCCTCCAGTTCCTTGAGCGTCTCCTGCTTGCGTTCCTCTATCATCGACCGGTAGAAGTTGTATGTGTCGGCGATCTCCGTCTGAGCCTTCGTGTACTGGATCTGAAGAGAAGACGCACAAGAGAGATGTCAGATACGAGAGGGAGAAAGAGGTCAGCGGGAAGTCCGCGACGACGATAACAGGTGCGAGTCATCACATTGTACGAGGACAGAGAAAGACAGAGGGCGACACTAGACACAGAGAGAGATAGAGGGCGACACTAGACACAGAGAAAGACAGAGGGCGACACTAGACACAGAGAGAGATAGAGGGCGACACTAGACACAGAGAGAGATAGAGGGCGACACAAGATACTGAGAGAGTTAGAGGGCGACACAAAATACTGAGAGAGATAGAGAGCGTCACAATATACTGAGAGAAATAGAGACACAAGATACAGAGAGAGAGATAACGAGGGCAACACTAGACACAGAGAGAGATAGAGGGCGTCACAATATACTGAGAGAAATAGAGACACAAGATACAGAGAGAGAGAGATAACGAGGGCAACACTAGACACTACGATACGATGTTTACCGATACGATATTTTACGCACGGATCTGAGAACGATAAAGAGCACTAGTAGCTATGAGTATGAGAGCCCATTCTATGAGAAGCGTTCTAGAGCGTTCTACTGCGATGCTAAGTGACACTAATGCTGGCTGCAGCTTGTTGTGGCAGTTTTTGCTCTCGTGAGGTTCACTCTCGCTGCTAGCTAAGCGGCGGAATGTTTTGAATGGAGACGGATGACTGTAGCCTCATGCATCACACCACCCGTGCATTTATCAACATCCTGTTCAAGAGGAAAGTGGCAGACAGCAGCAGCAGCAGCAGCAGCAGCAGCAGCAGCAGCAGCAGCAGCAGCAGCAGCAGCAGCAGCAGCAGCAGCAGCAGCAGCAGCAGCAGCAGTAGTAGCAGTAGTAGTAGTAGCATCATCATGATCACTATGCATCCACAGCTGCTGCAGACAACGCGCCGACACATGAGACGCTCGAGCAATTAACCACTCATTACCGCGTTTTAATATTCATAAAAACTGATTATATATACAGCGTATTAACCCCCCCCCCAACCGCTCACCACCGATGCAACACACTGATACTAGGGGTGGGCCGACTTATCGATATATCACGATACATGTATCGATACGTTTGACCATTCACGTACTGATACTGAATAAAATCAGTTATCAGTCAAGTTTAAATTAATATGAGTTAGCAGCATAGTTTTCTAGATACATACGTTATCGTGATACGTATCGCATCCTGAGGGCTGTATAGTGATACATATCATATCGTGAAGGCTGTATCGTGATACATATCATATCGTGGACGTGAAGGCCGTATCATGATACACATTGTATCCTGAGGGCTGTATCGTGATAATATCACCCGCATCATTCCATCCCCTAGCTGAACATACGTGAGTACCCTCCCCCCCACGCGCAGCGTTTTTCGTGGCCTGTCTCATTACGCCGTCGTCGTCGTCGTCGTCGGCAGAAATCCCCGTCTGACCGCCATCATCGACCGCCGAGCCAGACGCAACATCGTTAGCGCGCTCGCGTCGCCGCGAAAAAAACGAGAAAACAGTTTCTCGCAACTCCGAGAATTTTAAAGTTCGCCGACGCGAGAGGAAGACCCCGAGGAGGCTGCTCCCGCATCGCACGCTCCCGACACTCTCATCCCGGGGATGCCAAGGTATCAGTTATCGCTTGTCGATGCCGCGCTACACAATGCGGAAACGGATATATCTCTCTCTCTCTCGCGAGCGCGAGCAGAGTGCTGGTCCGCATCTTAATCAACTCGCACCGCTACGTGCGTTGTCGTTCTAGACGCAGCGTACGGATGCGTAGCGGAGTCAAGGCCTCGCAGCGGTAATCTGGAACGACGAGCGCGGCGGCGGGCGTGAGCGGTCGCAAAATCGCCCGCAGACACGCGCGTGTAAATACGGAATCGCGAGCGGAAGGCGGGAGCAGGTAATTCTGCGTGCGCGCACGTTCTCTTGTTAGCTTGCTGTAGTCAGCTGCCGCGCCGCACGTATCTCTTGTTAGCTTGCTGTAGCGCGCACGTTCTCTTGTTAGCTTGCTGTCAAGTCAGCTGTCCGCAGCGTTGCCAGCGCCACTTTTCTCTTGTTAGCTTGCTGTGTCAGCTGCCCCCGTCGCGCTGCGACACCAGTTTCGGCTTTGTTAGCTTGCTGTAGTCAGCTGTACCGCGCGCGCGCACGTTCTCTTGTTGCTTGCTGTAGCTCAGCTGCAGCGCCGCGCACGTTCTCTTGCTTAGCCCTTACTTGTAGTCAGCTGCACCCCTTGGCCTTTGCGCCCGACACCGTTCTTGTTAGCTTGGCTGTAGCTCAGCTGCCTCGCCGCCTTGCTGCGCAGTTCTCTTGTTAGCTTACTGCCTAGTCAGTGCCTGCGCGCGAACGGCTTCTCTTGTTAGCTGCTGCTAAGTCAGCTGCCGCAGCGGCGCACAGCTCTCTTGTTAGCTTGCCGGGGTAGTCAGCTGCCGGCGCCGACACGTTCCTCTCTGTTAGCTCTGCTGTAGTCAGCTGCCCGCGCGCCGCACACGTTCTCTTGTAGCCTTCGCTGTAGTCAAGCTGCCCGCGCATGACCACGTCTCTTGTTAGCTTGCGTGGTCAGCTGCTGCGCGCGTGACACGTTCTCTTGTTAGCCTTGCTTGGGGGATGGTAAGTCAGCTGCCTTCGCGCGCGCGTTCTCTTGTATAAGCTTTGCTGTAGTCAGCTGCGCCCATCACCAACGACGCGCGCCGACAGTTCTCTTTGTTAGCCTTGCTCTGTAGTCAGCTGTTTTTTCTGCGCGTCACGTTCTGCTAGCTTGCTGCTTGTCAGCCTGTTCTCGTCTTTCCTTGTGTTTCTTTTGTGGTTTTTTCTTTTTCTTCATTAGTATTTCGATTTTTTCGCATGCGGCGAACGTTCTCTTCGTTATAGTCAGCTCCGCGTCTCGCGCACGCCTACTAATACAGCAAAACTTCATTCTCTCCCCACCATTCTCTCCCCCAGTCCATATCCCCATCCTCTACCTCTCCCCCAGTCTTCGCTCTCCCCACCCATCTCCTCCATCCCCACCCATCCTGCTTCTCCACCCATGCTCCTCCATCTGCCCCCACCCTCCTCCTCCACCTGCGCTCTGCTCCATGCCTCCTCCTATTCCCCACCCATCTCTCCATCCCCCACCCATCCTACTTTCTCCCCACGCCTTCCGCTCTCCCACCTCTTCCTCACCTCTCCCTCCCTCCTCCCCCATTTCCTTCCTTCTCCCCACCCATCTCATCTCCCCCACCTTCCTCCTCCGCTTCTCCCCACCCATCCTCCTCTCGTCTCGTCCCCCGACCCATCCTCCTCTGCCTCTCCGCGCACCCATCCTCCTCCACCTCTCCCACCAATCCATCCTCGCCTCTCCCCAACCCATCCTCCTCCACTTATCCCACTCCTCCTCCGCCTCTTCCCCACCCAGCCTCCTCCGCCTCTCCCCCACCCATCGTCCTCCACTTCTCCCCCAGCATCCGCGCGGTCCCGGAACGCTCGGCTGGCATCGAGCGACGCAAGCGACCGTGAAATCGCGTTGAATCGTCGCGAAAACCGTCCACAGAAACGAATTGGCCGGCGACACGAACGCCGCGGGGAGACGAGAGACTCGCGGAATCTAGCGCACCCGAGGCCAGATACGCGGGGAGTGAGGTTTACGCTGCATTTTTCCTCGCAACAGCCCCACCCAGCCCGCAGTTTTCTAACGTACACAAACATTACCTCCCCAGTGCCTGCACATGTTAACCCTGCAGCTGCACACGCTTCTGCTTACAGAATCACTCTGGTACCCCCCACCCCAGGGAAAGGAGAAAGAGGTGAAGAAGATAGAAAAGATAGAAAAAGAAAAAGTAACAAGACACAAGATAGAGGAAAAAGTAACACGAAATAGAAAAAGAAGTGGAAAAAGTACAAACGAGGAAAAAGTAACACGAAATAAAAAAATACGTAACAAGAAAAAAGTGAAGAATGACAAAAACCCACGCGAGCTACTCCCGAACACACATAGATGGCGCCAGCGTTACCTGCAGGCGGTTGCCCGTGTGCTCGACCGTCTTCAGCGCCATCTTCAGCTCCTTAGTCTTCATCTTGCCGTCGTCGACGATCTGCGTCACGTCGATGACTAGCGGAGATTCGACGGCGGCCAGCGGTTCGTAGTCGTGAAGCGCCGCCTTGGAGTGGTCGAGCGACGCACACTCCCCGCATATCGGCACATCGCACGTCCGGCAGAAGAACGCGAGCGCGTCGTGCTTGTGTCGCGGACACGCGACAGGCTTCTCGGCGCGTGGGTCACCGCCGACGCCGCCGCCGTCGCGCCCGCTCTGCAGCTCACCGAGCGTCATCACGCGGTGACCCTCGAAGCAGTGCATGAACTGATGCGCCATGACGCAGTTCGGACAGAGAAAGTTTGCGCAGTCGAAGCAGCGCGCGACGGCGTTCGACTCCTTGCTCTTGCAGCCCGTGCAGCCGAGGTTGGTGTTGGCTTCGACGGCGTGTGACTCGAGGATGCTGCTGACAGCGATGTCGGACATGAGAGCGTAAACACCGTGAGAGGTGAGCGTCGTGACGGCGTGACACTCGGGACACGTGATCTTGTCGGCGACGACTTGCACTTTCTCGAGGCACGGCTGACAGAACGTGTGGAAGCAGTCGAGCACCTGAGGGAGAGAGAGAGAGAGGTGAGTGATGGTAGAGAGAAAGATGACAGGGACAGGGAGAGGGGGAAAGGGTGAGAGAGAGAGGGGCGAGTGATGGTAGACAGAAAGAAGGCAGGGACAGGGAGAGTGGGAGAGAGTGAGAGACAGAGGGGCGAGTGATGGTAGAGAGAAAGAAGACAGGGACAGGGAGAGGGGGAGAGGGTGAGAGAGAGAGGGGCGAGTGATGGTAGAGAGAAAGAAGACAGGGACAGGGAGAGTGGGGAGAGGGTGAGAGAGAGAGGGGCGAGTGATGGTAGAGAGAAAGAAGACAGGGACAGGGAGAGTGGGGAGAGGGGGAGAGAGAGAGAGGG